GCCTCGCAATCTGCTTCAAGACACGGCAGATGCCGGATCATTCCGGCGATTGTGATAGGCAGTTTGATGGTGAGGCATATATCTGTACCTGGGGCAAAAGTTCAGGATATCACCAGGATGCTTCCCGAAGCTGTGAGTAAGTCACCGGGGGCTGATAATGTCATGGTTCATGTGGGGTCAATTGACATTATGAAGGGCAGCTCAGAACAGCTGAAGATGGATTTTATAGAACTGATTGGGTCTCTACTTGACACCAACAAACGCCCCATAATATCTGGCCCTCTGCCCTCCCTAAATCGTGGCATTGAACGGTTCAGCAGACTTTTAGCCCTCCATAACTGGCTACGAGACTATTGCAGTGTAACATTTATTGACAATTTTGATACCTTCTGGAAACAAAGCTCGTATTACAAGGAGGCTGGGATCCACCCAAATCACTTGGGTTCCTGGATCCTTTCATACCATTATAAGGCTGCGTTGAGACAATGACTTATCAATAACCCAAGTCCAGCTCATTTAATCTCTACCATTGTGTCGCTGAGTTGTCATAATGCTTCAGCAAATGTACATTATCCTAGGGGTGTTGGAAGACACAATGTAAGTAACCTAATTGATGTCCCTCTTACTGACCTGAATGCCTCTGCTGATCCTACAGCTATTGTATGCAGTAATCATATGCCTATGAACCAGAGTAATACTGTTATCACTGAGCTGGTGTGCCCTAGTAGGAAGTCCACTGTGTGCAGCTCACCCTGCACTAATAAAAAGAACTTGAGCATGTCTACTTCTGCTAAGCTTCCATGTAAAGCAAGAAAAACAATCAAATATCCCAAAAAAGTGTTAAAAACATCCCACTTTAACATATGTAGCTTAAGAAACAATGTTAATGAAATCAATCATTTGCTAGTAACAGATGACATTCATATTCTGACAATCTCTGAAACTCACTTAGATAATACCTTTGAGAATACAGTAGTAGCAATACATGGTTATAAGATCTAAAGAAAATACAGAAATGCCAAAGGTGGAGGTGTGTCTGTTTATATTCAGAACCACATTCCTGTAAAGCTTAGAGATGATCTCATGTAAAATACTGTTGAAGTAATATGGCTAAAGGTTCATCTGCCTCACCTAAAGCCCATTCTGGTGGGAAACTGCTAAAGACCACGAAGTGCAAACAGTCAGTATCTGGATAACGTGTGAAATGCTTGATAATGTATATGATATCAATAGAGAGGTATATTTTCTGGGTGATTTAAATATTGACTGGCTTTTATCAGGCTGCCCACTCAGGAGAAAGCTTCAAACTGTAACTAGTACCTGCTACCTGGTTCAGGTTATCAATCAACCTACCAGGGTAGTTAGAAACAGTACAGGAATGAAATCATCAACGTGTATTGATCATATCTTTACTAATGCTGCAGAAATTTGTTTGAAAGCAGTATCCAAATCCATTGGATGTAGTGATCACAATATAGTAGCCATATCTAGGAAAACCAAAGTTCCAAAGTCTGGGCCTAATATTGTGTTTAAGAGGTCATACAATAGGTTTTGTAGTGATTCCTATATTGTTGATGTGAAGAATATTTGTTGGTCCGTGGTGTGTAATGACGAGCAACTAGACGCTGCACTTGACACATTTATGAAAATGCTTATCCCAGTTACTAATAAGCATGCACCATTAACAAAAGGACTGTAAAAACTGTTCAATTCCCATGGATTGATGAGGAATTTAAAAATTGTATGGTTGAGAGGGATGAGGCAAAAGAGATGGGCAAACGTACTGCAAATTGAGAAATCATGTGACTAAACTGAATAAAAATAAGAAGAAACTACACTATGAAACAAAAGCTTTGGAGCACCATTAATTTAATTTTGGGCAAAAAGGCAAACTCTGCTCCATCATTCATTGAATCAGATGGCTCATTCATCACAAAACCCAATGATATTGCCAACTACTTCAACTTTTTCATTGGAAAGATTAGCAAACTTAGGCATGACATGCCAGCAATAAACACTGACACTACACATCCAAGCATATCGTACCAAATTATGAAAGACAAGCATTGTTATTTTGAATTCCGTAAACTAAATGTGGAAGAGGTGAAAAAATGATTGTTGTCTATGAACAATGATAAGCCACTGGGGTCTGACAACTTGGATGGAAAATTACTGAGGATAATAGCGGACGATATTGCCACATCTTCAATCTAAGCCTACTAGAAAGTGTGTGCCCTCAGGCCTGGAGGGAAGCAAAAGTTATTCCCCTACCTAAGAATAGTAAAGCCCCATTAACTGGCTCAAATAGCCGACCAATCAGGATGTTACCAACCCTAAGTAAACTTTTGGAAAAAAATGGTGTTTGACCAGATAATATGCTATTTTACAGTAAACAAATTGACAACAGACTTTCAGCACGCTTATAGGGAAGGACATTCAACAAGCACAGCACTTACACAAATGACTGATGATTGGCTGTGAGAAATTGATGATAAAAAGATTGTGGGGGCTGTTTTGTTAGACTTCAGTGCGGCTTTTGACATTATTCATCATAGTCTATTGCTGGAAAAATTTATGTGTTATGGCTTTACACCCCTGCTATATTGTGGATAAAGAGTTACCTGTCTAACAGAACACAGAGGGTGTTCTTTAATGAAAGCCTTGCCAACAAAATCCAGGTAGAATCAGGAATTCCCCAGGGCAGCTGTAGCGGATGACTCAACACTATACACGTCAGCTACCAGACCACTGAAATGACTGCAACACTTAACAAAGAGCTGCAGTTAGTTTCAGAATGGGTGGCAAGGAATAAGTTAGTCCTAAATATTTCAAAAACTAAAAACATTGTATTTGGGACAAATCATTTACGAAACCCTAAACCTCAACTAAATCTTGTAATGAATCATGTGGAAATTGAGCAAGTTGAGGAGACTAAACTGCTTGGAGTAACCCTGAATTGTAAACTGTCAAGGTCAAAACATATTGATACAACAATAGCTAGGATGGGGAGAAGTCTGTCTATAATAAAGCGCTGCTCCACATTCTTAACAGCACTATAAACAAGGCTGATCCTACAGGCCCTAGTTTTGTCGCACCTGGACTACTGTTCAGTCGTGTGGTCAGGTGCCACAAAGAGGGACTTAGGAAAATTACAATTGGCTCAGAACAGGGCAGCACGGCTGGCCCTTGGATGTACACAGAGAGCTAACATTAATAATATGCATGTCAATCTCTCCTGGCTCAAAGTGGAGGAGAGATTGACTTCATCACTACTTGTATTTATGGAAGATATTGACATGTTGAATGCACCGAGCTGTCTGTTTGAACTACTGGCACACAGCTCGGACACCCATGCATTCCCCACAAGACATGCCACCAGAGGTCTCTTCACAGTCCCCAAGTCCAGAACAGACTATGGGAGGCATTGGCAGCAGCTAATGGGGCTCCATAATAAATACAAATACAAAATCATCTGAGATTTACTCTGGATTTACCTTCATTCTCTCGCTTCAGTGCGTCGACTTCTGTCTTCGTAGCTTTGAGGTTGGCTTCCAGAGCTGCCACCTTATGTGATTTCCCATCATACCCTTGCCTCAGTTTATATAGTGTCGAGATCTGCTTCTTCAGTTCTGTCGTCATGGCCTGTAGCTCTAGCTTTGTCTTTGTGGCCTTGACCTTGGCATCCAGAGCTCTTTGCCCATTAAGCAGGTCTTTAATCTGTCTGGCATTGTCACAAGGTCTCACTGGATCACATGACAAAGCTATGGCCAGGCAGCCCAGTAGGGTCAGCAGGAGAGCCAATGTTTTTCCCATTGTCAAGGGTTTAGCAAATGTAAGATCTCTGTCTACACTGAGCGGCTAGGTGAAGTCTTGTGTCTAGGTGACGTCTCTTGGTTGCACTTTGTTGATGTTCTAAGGACTGGGGGAGAAGACACTTATATTTATGCGTTTCACTCAAGGGGGAGGATCCTTTTTGGCCTGCATTCATTTTAAACAATTTTGATAAGCAACTACGAAACAATTGTTTGAATTGCAAGGTAAGTTAGATACCTAATGATTGGGTGGCATAAAAGTCCTTATATTTAAAAAGTATTAAAAGTATCACAATTATTTTGATAAACAACATGCTTGTTTAAAGTTTAAATGGTGACTCAACTTTTGTTATTTTCAAGAGAGAGTGGTAAGCACGGCGACTTGAAAACTGAGGAGATGAACAGGAACTAGAAACAAGGAAGACATTTATAGCATTCAGTGCTGGGGCTGGTCCTTGCAAATCTATGCCAGGTAATTGGTTATTTCTTTTGGTGGTGCAATTGTTTTGTCAAAATGTATAAATGCTCCTAATTCTCCTGAATAATTTAAAGTTTGAATGGCGATTCCATCTTAAACAGCTCAAGAGAAGTAAAGGTCAGCATAATGATAATAAGCCAGAGGTATGGGGGATTTTAAAGAGTGGATTGCTAATGCAATCTTATTAAGAATCTGCATGAAGTATGGGGAATAACATGAGTTGTGCATTCAGCAAGCTCACTAATTAGCCTGGTTGCCAACTCCATTGCAGTCATTGTCATGCCAAACACTGCCATCTTTCTCAAGATGCTCACAACTGATAGATTGGATACAAATTATAAAACGTTGTTTTGAAATAATCTTGAAAGAATTGTGAATAGCAAGCTAGAGCCAAAATCTACAATTCCTTCTATTCAACACTTCACAAGCAGTGAGTCTATCATAATATTTTGTATTGGGAATTAAACCAGCTGTTCTCATGGTATTTCACAATAAATGTTGATTTTGCATGACTGACTCAAATATGAAAGACGTGTTCAAAGTCAATGACAGTCCTGGGAGCATTACAAGTGTTACATATATTATTTTTTTGTGCTAAGAGTTTAGAAAATTGACCAGCTAGGAAATTTGCACCAAAACAATTGGAGAAAAAAACATTAATAATCTATGGACCATCTAGAATTTTCTGGTCATTCCATGTGAGTATTCACTCTCTCTTTCTTTAGATCTCTCTTCCACTCACTGCTCCTCTCTCTCTCTCTCTCCATCCCTCCCTCCCTCCATCCCTCTTCTCTGTTCTCTCTCATTTCCTCTGACTCACCTTCCTCTGGTATGATGTGCAGGGTGACGATGAGTCCGGCGTCTTTGATGAGCTTGACGATGTCGGCATGGGGCATGCTGATGATGGATTGCCCATTGACGGCCAGGATCCGGTTGCCCACCTTCAGGCGGCCGCAGCGGTCCGCTGGGCTGCCCTCGATGATACGCCCAATCTTGTGGGGCACAGCTAGTAGGGGGAGTAGAACATGTTTTGACAAATATGCACATAAACTTGTCAAGTACTGGACAGAAAATAAATTGTAAATTAAATAAGTCTTGTCCGCAAGTGGTTTATTGAGATGCACACACAAACAAGACAATGTTTTGATCCCACTGGATAGTTGAAGAAGATCCCAGTGCGATTTAAATATTGTGTTGTGTGTTTCCCAACAAACCACTGTGGGAACATATTACAGAATAAACGTTTTAACGTCTGTTGGTCCCAAATCGCTCCCTATCCCTACCCCAGGGTTTCCCAAACTCAGTCCTGGGGATCCCAAGGGGTGCACATTTTGTTTTTTGCCCTAGGCACTACACAGCTAATTGAAATAATCAAAGCTTGATGATGAGTTAATTACCGTAATTTTCGGACTATAAGCCGTGCCTTTTTTCCAATTTTTCGACCCTGCGGCTTATATAACGGTGCGGCTAATCTATGGATTTTTACAGCTAACGGCCACTAGAAGACCTCCTAAATCTATGGATTTTACAGGTTACAGTCCACCAACTTTAACTCTATGGGCTCTATGACCGGTCCGCGCCCCCCACCTTTAAGCGGCGGGCTCCAGCAGGAAAAGCTGGAGGCCGGAAAAGAGTGAGACAGGTAGCGCGCAAAAGTAAAAGTGGAACCGAGAGTGGTACGAGAGACAGAACGAGAGACAGAACGAGAGCAAGACAGACAGACATTACGAGAGCGAGACAGTTTGTCTCTTTCCCGACAATCCCCTCTGTGCACGAACCCTTACATATGGTAATTAAACATTAAAACACCTGCGGCTTATAGTCCAGTGCGGCTTATATATGTACACATCATTCAATATCATTAAATTTAGCTGCTGCGGCTTATACTCCGGTGCGCCTTATAGTGCGGAAAATACGGTATTTTAATAAGCTGTATAGTGCTAGGGCAAAAACCAAAATGTGCACAGGGATTGACAAAATGTGCACAGGTATTGGCAGTAGAGGTTGCCTTATTGCCTGGGGCAAGTGCACTGAGCAGTCGTGCAAGTGGAGCCTGCTCAGAGCTTGCTCTATTGGGCAGGTGATAAAAAAAAGTTAAATTGCAAAGTCATTCCAGTAGAATAAAACTGATCCTTCTGGTTCCTCCCCATTGTTTAAGTGAAAGACAGACAATTTATGGCAGTCGGGCAAGTTGAGTCTGCTCTGAGAACAACCAAAAAACAAAGAATTCCAGTACTGATCTTTGTTATTCCTTCCGTATGTGTAGGTGAAAAGCAATATATGGCACTTCTGCATGTAAATAGCTAAAAAATTTAATAAATCGGGCAAGTAATAATAATCTTCAGGCAACCAAAAAATACCCCTTACTTGCGATGGGCAAGTGCTTTTCAGACTTTAATGTCAAGCCCTGTTTTTGTTTTTATTGTTCTATACTTTATTTAACCAGGTAAGACCCATTGAGGTTAAAAACCTAGCAACCTGGCAAGAACGCAAAACAGGGAGATAGCAGCGTGTACATAAAACGTAACAACAAATACACACAAAAGAGTGTCAAAAGTTACAGATACATTTGAAGATTAAAAACAACTGCAGCTATCAAAAACAGTCATCGATCAGAGTCTTAAAAACAGGCAAGGACACTAACTCCCCTAACTTGAATATATTTAGCCTGTTCCAGGACGCATTGCGGGAAAAATATTTGTCAACTGTTCGGGCACACAATATGTTTTCTGGAGGCAAGCCGAAGTTCGGAGCCGAAGTCTACGCCTCTTCATCAGTGATTGGTCAACAGTAGGGATTCTTCAATAAAGTCTTTATTGTCATTCAACGAGAGACGACTCGTTTTCATACACATTTTTCATTGAGAATTACTGCACCATTAGTTAGATGTAAAATTGCGCGACTACAATTAATGACAGACTTCCTGAGTTCTTAGATGAATTCTGACTATTTGGCTATGTCGTCTCAAAATGGACAAACAGTGCCATTTTTTTCTAAATTTTCAAGCGAAGGTCTTTTAAGTGTGTATGCGAGCACACTCGTTCGGTTCGGCTAGCTGAGTTTGGCAAGGCGCCAGCCGAAATGATGCATGCTGACGCCTTAAGGAAAAGAGATACAAAAGGAGTTGCCTTAACAATGCCTTGTACACAAAAGTGTACCAGTGCTTTAGCCTCCTGGTGGAGAGAGAGGTACATTGCACCATGGCATACACATACACAGTGATTGGTGAGTGATCTAGCATGTGTGATAAATCTTAAAGCACCATGATACACTGTGTCCAGAGTTTTTAACATACTTGCTAAGGCCTGCATATAGACAATATCACCATAATCCAGAACCGATAAAAAGTGCTTTGTTCCTAAAATAAAATAAACTATTTCAAGTTATCAATGTGCTGTCTAAAATTCAGATTTTCATCTAGCCAAATCCCAAGACACTTTTAGGAGGTGACCCTATACATTTGCTGGCATTTTAGAGTTAAAATCTGGAAGTGACTCCTTCTGTCTACTTTCAGAGAAGAGGAAACTGTACATTTTGTTTAAAATCGAAAATTGCTTTTGATCAGCGTCCGGAAAAGCCTTCTCAATATTAGATGCGCTAGAATAAATAATCGGGTCATCAGCATACAGATGGGGATTTGCAGAGTCAACAGTCTTCCCTATATCATTTATATACAGTGTAAAAAGGATCAGACCTAAAATTTAGCCCTGGGGAACTCTTTTTGTAAGCCTTCGAAACTCAGATTTCAAACCCTCCTGTGCTACACACCGTGTTCTGTCAGAAAGGTAGTTTTGGAACCAATCCAATGCATCAACACTTAAACCAACCTTTTTTAGTCTATACAACAGCAGGGCATGGTCAATAGTGTCAAAGGCCTTCAATAAGTCAATAAAAAGTGAAACATAATGATATTTCTTGTCCTGAACATCTAGAATATCACCTACAACCTTAGTTATCACAGTAATTGTATTATGCTTGGCTCTAAAACCTGACTGGAATTGAGATAACACAGAGTTATCATAAACTGTGAGTTCACCAGGTTTTCCAAATCTTTGCAAGTGCAGACAGTTTAGATATGGGACGATAGTTATCCAACTGGGACGGACCTCCACCCTTATTTAAAGGGGTGATGTAGGCTGCTTTCCAGACTTTTGGAATCATATTACTCGCCAATACAGTGTGAGTGAGACTGGCAGCAATGATCTCTGCACCACTTTAAACAAAATAAGGCTTAAATTCATCCGGGCCAGCCATTTTGTTCATATCAATAGATTTGAGTGCCTTTACAACTTCTGAAAGATCAATTTCGGTAAAATCAAATAGATGCCCAGCCTTTGCAAAATGCTCATTAAACATGTCAAGCAGTTTATTCTTGTCTGTCACGTCCATTGAATTTGAGGTCAATTCCAGCGGAAGACCAGAAGAGTTCATGTTAGCATTCATGGACTTAATGTTTTTCCATAATTTGGTCAGGTTATTGATGTTTGCCTTGGTAGATTCATAATAGAAGCTAGATTTGCATTTCCATATTAACAAGGTGCACTTATTTCTCAGTGCCCTGAATAACTGTCATTCAGCCTGGGAGTTACACTTTCTGGCTTTGGCCCATTGTGTATTTGTGACCCGTTTCATGAAACTAGGCGTATGTCACAAGTCACAACTTCACAGGAGAGCCATTTGAACGTAAAAAAAATTAATCAAAATGCGTTTTTTGCCAGAAATGCCTTCTGGAATATGTGAACTTTCATGTGCCTTAATAACAAACGTGTATGCCATCTGTAAATACAATTGTTAAATTACAAGCCTGGTTGGTTAAGCAACAGAAAAAGACAGCAAACTTCCCACTAGCCATGTTTGGCTGAGATAATGAGTGGGCTGGACATGCCGAGAGAGGAGTTTGGATTGGTCTGCCATATATAAGGCTTCTGTCTATTTGAGCTGGTCAGTCTGTGTAGGTAATTCTGTCTAATGCGGCTTAAAAAATATATATATATTGCTTAGTAGAACTGCATAAGTGTTACTCTCCACTTTCTGGAGGATCGAGTTTTGAAATCAGTGGAATTAGAGTATGATAGCTAAAGAGATGGTGAAAACACCTGTCTCCGGATTACATCTTCAAACTAAAGGCAACCATACATGGCATCCGTGACAGGGAGACGCGTCCATCATGCATGATGATGTATACGGGTAAGATAGATATCTAACATTGAACCTGGTTGGTTAGCTCCCAGCAGATTCATGCAGGGTAGTAGAGACATGATTTGGCACTATGTTCATTGTTGTTTAACTAGCTAACATTAGCTGGCTGGCTCGTTAGCTAACGTTACATGACGTGTGTGATCTTACACATTGTTTCCTTAGCTAGGTTCATTGTTTATTTAGCTAGCGAGCTACATGTCTTCAGCTAAAGTGTACTGTTAGCTAGCTAGATAACGTTAGCTGGCTGGCTCCCTAGCTACTGTTACATGTATGACATTATTATTCGTATCCCAGAGCCATTTGCTTCGCTAGTTAGAGCCTAATGTTAGCTAGCTAACACTGAACCTGGTTGGTTAGCTCCCAGCAGATTAATGCAGGGTAGTAACGGCATGATTTGGCACTATGTTCATTGTTGTGTAACTAGCTAATGTTATCTGGCTGGCTTGTTAGCTAACGTTATGTGACGTGTGTGATCTTACACGTTGTTTACCTAGCTAGCTAACTACAGTGAGGGAAAAAAGTATTTGATCCCCTGCTGATTTTGTACGTTTGCCCACTGACAAAGACATATCAGTCTATAATTTTAATGGTAGGGTTATTTGAACAGTGAGAAACAGAATAACAACAACAAAAATCCAGAAAAACGCATGTCAAAAATGGTATAAATTGATTTGCATTTTAATGAGGGAAATAAGTATTTGACCCCTCTGCAAAACATGACTTAGTACTTGGTGGCAAAACCCTTGTTGGCAATCACAGAGGTCAGATGTTTCTTGTAGTTGGCCACCAGGTTTGCATACATCTCAGGAGGGATTTTTGTCCCACTCCTCTTTGAAGGTCATCTCCAAGTCATTAAGGTTTCGAGGCTGACATTTGGTAACTCGAACCTTCAGCTCCCTCCACAGATTTTCTATGGGATTAAGGTCTGGAGACTGGCTAGGCAACTCCAGGACCTTAATGTGCTGCTTCTTGAGCCACTCCTTTGTTGCCTTGGCCGTGTGTTTTGGGTCATTGTCATGCTGGAATACCCATCCACAACCCATTTTCAATGCCCTGGCTGAGGGAAGGAGGTTCTCACCCAAGATTTGATGGTACATGGCCCCATCCATTGTCCCTTTGATGCGGCAAAGTTGTCCTGTCCCATAGCAGAAAAACACCCCCAAAGCATAATGTTTCCACCTCCATGTTTGACGGTGGGGATGGTGTTCTTGGGGTCATAGGCAGCATTCCTCCTCATCCAAACACGGCGAGTTGAGTTGATGCCAAAGAGCTCAATTTTGGTCTCATCTGACCACAACACTTTCACCCAGTTCTCCTCTGAATCATTCAGATGTTCATTAGCAAACTTCAGACGGGCCTGTATATGTGCTTTCTTGAGCAGGGGGACCTTGCGGGCACTGCAGGATTTCAGTCCTTCACGGCGTAGTGTGTTACTAATTGTTTTGTTGGTGACTATGGTCCCAGCTGCCTTGAGATCATTGACAATATCCTCCCGTGTAGTTCTGGGCTGATTCCTCACCGTTCTCATGATCATTGCAACTCCACGAGGTGAGATCTTGCATGGAGCCCCAGGCTGAGGGAGATTGACAGTTATTTTGTGTTACTTCCATTTGCAAATAATCGCACCAACTGTTGTCACCTTCTCACCAAGCTGCTTGGCAATGGTCTTGTAGCCCATTCCAGCCTTGTGTAGGTCTACAATCTTGTCACTGACATCCTTGGAGAGCTCTTTGGTCTTGGCCATGGTTGAGAGTTTGGAATCAGATTGATTGATTGCTTCTGTGGACAGGTGTCTTTTAAACAGGTAACAAGCTGATATTAGGAGCACTCCCTTTAAGAGTGTGCTCCTAATCTCAGCTCGTTACCTGTATAAAAGACACCTGGGAGCCAGAAATCTTTCTGATTGAGAGGGGGTCAAATACTAATTTCCCTCATTAAAATGCAAATCAATTTATAAAATTTTTGACATGCGTTTTTCTGGATTTTTTGTTGTTATTCTGTCTCTCACTGTTCAAATAAACCTACCATTAAAATTATAGACTGATCATTTCTTTGTCAGTGGGCAAACGTACAAAATCAGCAGGGGATCAAATACTTTTTTCCGTCACTGTACATGTCTTAACCCTCCCGTTGTCCTAGGGTCAAAATGACCCGCCACTGTGTTGAACCAACTTTATTAAATTTTTATATTTTTGGGATCATTTGTGAGAAGGAGGCAGTGAGACTTTAAAGAAAGTATCACTGACTCCTTCTCACAAATGATCCAAAAAATATAAAATTTAAATAAAGTTGGTTCAACACAGTGGCGGGTCATTTTGACCCTAGGACAACGGGAGGGTTATGCTAAAGTGTACAACACACGTTGAATATGGCCTGTGTCAGTAAACATAGGCATAAAAGCGTAATGAACTTGTTGCCAGCAGAGCTGTTTAGGCTGTTTTCATGTTATCCAGAGGAAAACAAATCATCGGCCAGAGCGTCAAGTGTGCGCTCTGAACGCTCTGAGAGCGAAAGAGATGGGTGGGGTTAAAGCTTAAGAGGGTGTGAACGATGCTGAATGGGTGTAGACAAAAAAGATAGATACCAAAACATTCAAATGCCATTTTCTCAAAAGTGAGTTTACAAGTTTATAAACTTTCAAAGCAGAATTACTTTCCCATTGTTCCTCAATATTCAGTGTATGATATACCATTTTGTAGCTCTGAGTCTCTACTTTTATCCAATGTAAAAAAACAGCATTTCAATTGTTGCTACATAAGACCAAATCCAGGTTGTGAGTCACATTTCGTTTATGGATCAAATAAGTTAATTCCTCTGTAAACCAGGGATTGTCTCAACCTCTTACCCGGTACTTTTTGAGAGGGGAGTGTTTATCACAGATAGTAGACAACATGAAATGAAAATAGGAGAATGCCTCCTTGATGAACTGCTTGTAGTCCCCAGGACCTAGTTTGGGAAACGCTGCCTTACCCCTTGGTACTAAACTCTCGATGTTAGCTTGTCTGAAGGGTCTGGATAGGTACTGTATATTTTTACTACAGTGTAGTGCTAAAGCTTCCACCATATTGCTTCCACCTCACAGATCTGCAAACATCGAAGGGTAAGGACCGGCCAAGAGGAGGGGTAGCTGTTTTCTGAGTTACTACAAGTGTTAAACCATGGCGAGAGGGGTTTATCTCCCCTCTTGGCTAACTTGAAAACACAACGGAGAGGTGTGGTGTAATTATCAATTAACAGAAAATTCCAAATGGTCTACTACATAATGGACTGTTACTTGGAATTGGAGCATCCATCCTGTTCTATTCTAGAACAACCCTTAGCGTGAGACATATAAATATAATTACTTTAGTAGTTTTACTCTGGTGATTCTATTTCTATGGCACTTGAGAGAGACATCGTGTGACTCACTGATGACAGCTGTGTTCTCCGGTCGGTTCAGCGAGCTGATGATGACAAAGCCGAAGCCCTCGTTCTCCTTGCGGTGGATGATGACATCACTGGTACACAGGGGGACGGCGCCCTCCGGAGGGGAGGCGGTGGACGGTGGCGGGACATTGCCGGGGGTTACAGGACAGGAAGCTGAGGCGGCGTCGCTGCGCGGGGAGCTGTGCTGCGTGGACACATAGCCCGGGCAACGGCCGTTCATCCCTAACACCTCACCTACAGAGGGCAGCAGAGAGCGAGAGAAAAAGCGAGAGAGAGACAGAGCGAGAGAGAGAGAGAGGTTAAAGTTGACTTTTTTTCTACCCCCTCTATACTACGTACCCTTCTCACCAGGGAAGTGGACTCTCCACCATCAGGCTGATCTGGCCGTTGTATAATGTGTATAGAGGACCATCCTGCTCAGTGAATTTCATAAGAATAAAAATCGTCAAACATTTAAAAAGTTATCCTTTTAGATAAAACTACACTAAATATAATCACATGTCACCAAATAGTTGATTAAAACACACTATTTTGCAATGAAGGTCTACAGTAGCCTCAACAGCACTATGTAGCTTCTGTCCTCCTCTGGGTACACTGACTTCAAAACAAAACCTAGGAGGCTCATGTTTCTCACCACTTTCCATATACTTACACAGTAATTAAGACAGCTTCCGGAGGACATCCTTCAACCTATCAGAGGTCTTGCAGCATGAACTGACATGTTGTCCACCCAATCAAAGGATCAGATAATTAATCTAGTACTGAAAGCATAAGCTACAGCTAGCTAGGACTGCAGTGCAAAATGTGGTGAGTAGTTGACTCAAAGAGAGAGAAAGACAATAGAGGAAAAGTTTTTAACAAATTAATGTATTCCAAAATGAAGGAGTAGCAAGAGTGAGAGAGAGAGATATTGTCACTTTTCACTTACTTAGCTAGCATATGCAGCTAGCTAGTTTAGCCTACTGAAACACCCTGCTCAAACAGATGGATAGCTAGCTGGCTATGACTATCCAACACAAGACTGGAACTCTTCCAAGTCAAGATAAGCTTTTAATAATTTATTGTCGCCGGGGGCCGCCAGTATAACTGCTTACTGACAGTACACTGTAACGTTACTGCATGATTGTATCGGGTTTACTAACATGTTAGTTCAATAAGATATGTTGACTATGACATTACTTTAGCTAATATGGTGACAACGATGTAGGCTATGTGTAGTGGTTATGATATGGTTTGGCTTGGAAAGGTTTTTTCGCCTGGTCACATACAGTGCCTTGAAAAAGTATTAATCTACCTTGGCATTTTTCCTATTTTGTTGCATTACAACCTGTAATTTAAATTGATTTTTATTTGGATTTCATGTAATGGACATACATAAAATAGTCCAAATTGGTGAAGTGAAATGAAAAAAACTACTTGTTTCAAAAAATTCTACAAAATAAATAATGGAAAAGTGGTGCGTGCATATGTATTCACCCCATTTGCTATGAAGCCCCTAAATAAGATCTGGTGCAACCAATTGCTTTCAGAAGTCACATATTTAGTTAAATAAAGTCCACCTGTGTGCAATCTAAGTGTCACATGATCTGTCACATGATTTCAGTATGTAGTCCTGTGTAGCTCAGTTGGTAGTGCAAGGTGCTTGCAACGCCAGGGTTGTGGGTTCGATACCCACGGGGGACCAGTATGAAAAAATGTATGCACTCACTAACTGTAAGTCGCTCTGGATAAGAGCGTCTGCTAAATGACTAAAATGTCAAATGTATATATACACCTGTTCTGAAAGGCCCCAGAGTCTGCAACACCACTAAGCGAGGGGCACCACCAAGCAAGCGGCACCATGAAGACCAAGGAGCTCTCCAAATAGGTCAGGCACAACGTTGTGGAGAAGTACCGATCAGGGTTGGGCTATAAAAAAATATCTGAAACTTTGAACATCCCACGGAGCACCATTAAATCCATTATAAAAAAATTGAAAGAATATGGCACCACAACAAACCTGCCAAGAGAGGGCCGCCCACCAAAACTCACGGACCAGGCAAGGAGGGCATTAATCAGAGAGGCACCAAGAGATAACCCTGAAGGAGCTGCAAAGCTCCACAGCGGAGATTGGAGTATCTGTCCATAGGACAATTTTAAGCCGTACACTCCACAGAGCTGGGCTTTATGGAAGAGTGGCCAGAAAAAAGCCATTGCTTAAAGAAAAAAATAAGCAAACACGTTTGGTGTTCACCAAAAGGCATGTGGGAGACTCCCCAAACATATGGAAGAAGGTACTCTGGTCAGATGAGACTAAAATCGAGCTTTTTGGCCATCAAGGAAAACGCTATGTCTGGCGCAAACCCAACACCTCTCATCACCCCGAGAACACCATCCCCACAGTAAAGCATGGTGGTGGCAGCATCGTGCTGTGGGGATGTTTTTCATCGGCAGGGACTGGGAAACTGATCATAATTGAAGGAATGATGGATGCCGCTAAATACAGGGAAATTCTTGAGGGAAACCTGTTTCAGTCTTCCAGAGATTTGAGACTGGGACGGAGGTTCACCTTCCAGCAGGACAATGACCCTAAGCATACTGCTAAAGCAACACTTGAGTCATTTAAGGGGAAACATTTAAATGTCTTGGAATGGCCTAGTCAAAGTCCAGACCTCAATCCAATTGAGAATCTGTGGTATGACTTAAAGATTGCTGTACACCAGCAGAACCCAACCAACTTGAAGGAGCTGAAGCAGTTTTGCCTTGAAGAATGGGAAACAATCCCAGTGGCTAGATGTGCCAAGCTTATAGAGACATACCCCAAGAGACTTGCAGCTGTAATTGCGTCAAAAGGTGGCTCTACATCGTATTGACTTTGGGCGGGTGAATAGTTATGCACGCTCAAGTTTTCTGTTTTTTTTTGGTCTTATTTCTTGTTTGTTTCACCCCAAAAAATATTTTGCATCTTCAAAGTGGTAGGCATGTTGTGTAAATCAAATGACACAACCCCCCCCCCCCCCCCCCCCCAAAAAAAATCTATTTTAATTCCAGGTTGTAAGGCAACAAAATAGGAAAAATGCCAAGGGGGGTGAATACTTTCGCAAGCCACTGTACAGCTGATGTGTTTGTGCAGTGAAGTCCACAAGTGAAGGAACAAGGTGAGAGGAGGAGAGCGCATAGATACGAGAAGGAATACAACATGGCTGCTATGAAAGTGAACTGTGTTTACGTGTGATCAGGGGTGTTTTAATTCTGCCGATTCTGTAGGAAAATATTTTTAAACGGAACAAAACGCGGATGAACATACCTGAATTTGTCCAATAGAAACTCTCATTTGCAACTGTTGGACTAATGATTGCACCCTATATCAGCTAGATGCAGGCAAAAGTGTACAAGGCAGTATTGAATGTGTCACTGTCTGTCCATGTGTCACTGTCTGTCAGCTCAAATTTTTCTCGGCCTGTGTGCACCTACTTTGTAAACTTTTATTCATAGGCTAATTGTAGCAACCTCATGATGGGTATATAGGGAACATTTGAGTATAATGTAGTAGCCTAAACCTATCGCTGTTACATTGAACTGGGTGACTGGAATATGAATGACAGTCATCCAATATGCTGCAATTAAATAAATACAATTGTACTCCCTCATCTTAAACGGCACAGACCGCCACTGGCATAGTGTGTGTATAGTGTACTATATAGTATAGTAGTGATTAGTTTATACATTGTAGTGAATACTACTCACTGAGGAAGTGGACTCTCCTCCGGACCGTCAGGCTGACCTGACCATTGCGTGCGGCGGCGTGCATCAGGTCGATCACGTATCTGTGTGGTTTCCCGGCAACCACCATCTTATCCACGGAGATGAGCTCGTCCCCGGGCCGAAGACGTCCGTCGCGTTCCGCAGGAGTATTCTCTATGATCGCCCCGATCACAATCTGTTCAACGACAATCTATATTAGCAGCACATTTATAGGTGTGCTGGGTGGGAAGAAATAAACATAGTTGAATTCTATGGGACCTGTTCAGTGGGCCACACTGTTGCAAAACGTTGTGTAGCAACAAAAAAATACAAAAATATTGCATATAGAACTGATGTACCGCTTATAAGACTTACTTTCAATGAGAATTACATATCTATAACTTGCATTTTGATTTGAAATCAGTTGGGTCGTAAACAATATATAATAGTGGACCTCTAAGTTGGTTAGATGTGTAAGATGACATTAGGTGTGCATTATGGTGTAGACAGGTATTATGGTGTTAGGTGTGTATTATTTAAGTGATAATGCTAGAGATGCCGGTGTTTGGAGGATATATTGGCACGGGTATTGTTAGGCCCAAGACGAAGTCGTGCCAATATGTCCTCCAAATACCGGCTTCGAGGTCAAAATCACTTTTATACAACGGGTTACCAATATATTCAAATAATGATTGATATATTTTCATTAAAAACTTTATTGTGATTAATTTATTCATACTATTTCATCCTTCCACGAGATATAGTCCCGACACAAATCTAGGGTTGCTACCCAAGCCGGCTGGTCGTCCGTTCTATCGGTTCGGTTGCCAGAGACGTGACCCAGTCTTTTTATTCTGTATCTATTGACGCGACCCAGTCGTTCGTTCGAAATGTTCCATTGCCATACTGGCTGGCAACGTTCTTATCCCTTGCTTGCTTGCTAGCCAACTATGGCTAACTTACAGTCACGTCAAAAAGTGAAGCCAGAATAACAGCAAAGTAGCTGCATTTGCATATGCTGTTTTCTAGAGACATTTATTTGGATACATCCATAACAATGAGCTAATGAAGCGCAATTTCAGGACTCTGCTTTTCAAAGGAGCTATCCAACAACACAGCTAACACAATCACTTCAAACTAAAGCTGGAGAGACTGCAAACTAGCTGCACTTGGTTTCGTTTTACCCTTTTTCAATTTACATTTCTTTGTATATATCCATAAAAATGATGCCAGCTGATTGATTTCGACTGGTTGAGAAACACTGCCTGCCTGTCTGTCTCGTCCCGACTCCTGACAAGTTCATTACTATGGGACAGCTGGAGATCAATTTGAATATTGAAACAATGTTGCAAATGTCGGAGAGACAGACAGCAAGGTTTATACAAATATATGCTGTTGAAAACTAAATGTTAGTCTAAAAGAAATGTGAGATAATGTCTAGATGCTTTTTATAGTGGAGATCAAGTTTTTAAATTGCCTGGCTGGGCTGATAAGACAGTGGATTGCACAGTCAGATGGAACAAAGTGAATAGTCATTTTAACGTCATAGATTTAGCCGGTGGTAACTTGTGGAATAGACATCGGCTGGAATGCGGTTTTAACCAATCAGCATTCAGGTTTAGACCCACCCGTTGTATAAATTAGGTTAGGTGTGTATTACATGGTGTTAGGTGTGTAGGCAGCAGCAGGCAGCAGGTGTGTTAAATGAGGTTAGACGTGTTAGGTGTGTATAATGGTGTGTGTTGTCCAGCCCGCCCATACGAGCCTTGTCGCGGGCGTCCGGACTCACAGCCTGCACGGCCTCGTCTCCCCCCAGGATGCGGAAGCCAAACCCAGTCTTCTCTCTCAACAGGTGAACTTCCACCTCCTGGTACTCTGGACCTGATAGGGGGAGGGAAAGAGAGAAAGGGAGGGAGGGAGGCACAGAGAGGGAGAGAAAGGGATGGTAGGGAGAGAGGGGGGAGGGGAGGGGGGAGAGAGGGGGGGGGGGGGGGGGGGGAGAGGAATGGAGAGAGAGGGCGTGGATGAGGAAGGAAAGGGAAGGGAGAGGGATAGCGAAGGAGAGGAAGAGAAATATGGAAATGAGTAGAGAAAACAATGATAAAAAGAGGGTGGAGACATACAGAGAGACAGGTGAGAGAGAGGAAGGGAGGCAAAAAGAGAGGAGGAAAGAATTTGAATGCAGAGAATTCCCCCACGAACACAGAGTATTGTGGCCAAGAGAGGAGAGAATGCAGCACTGATTTGTAATCTATCAGGATTGAGAGATCAATATCCTTCATAGACTGAATAAGAAAAAAGACAGACCTGTACAAATTCTACTCATTGCATATTCAGTCTTCACATGCAGTGTAACCATTATCTGAATATGTCATATATGTCAAACTGTTACAGACCTACATCCATCCTGCCCTGCCTTTCGAAAGTTTTTGAAAGCCAAGTTAACAAACAGATCACCAACCATTTCGAATCCCACCGTACCTTCTCCGCTATGCAATCCGGTTTCCTAGCTGTTCATGGGTGCACCTCAGCCACGCTCAAGGTCCTAAACGATATTATAACCGCAATCGATAATCGACAGTACTGTGCCGCCATCTTCATCGACCTGGCCAAGGCTTTCGACTCTGTCAACCACCACATTCTTATTGGCAGACTAAATAGCCTTGGTTTCTCAAATGACTGCCTCGCCTGGTTCACCAACTACTTCTCAGATAGAGTTCAATGTGTCAAATCGGAGGGCCTGTTGTCTGGACCTATGGCAGTCTCTATGGGGGTGCCACAGGGTTCAATTCTTGGGCCGACTCTTTTCTCTGTGTATATCAATGATGTCGCTCTTGCTGCTGGTGACTCTCAGATCCACCTCTACACAGACGACACCATTTTGTATACATCTGGCCCTTCATTGGACACTGTGTTAACAAACCTCCAAACGAGCTTCAATGCCATACAACACTCCTTCGGTAGCCTCCAACTGCTCTTAAACACTAGTAAAACTAAATGCATGCTCTTCAAACAAACGCTGCTGGCACCCGCCCACCCGACTAGAATTACTACTCTCGACGGGTCTGACCTAGAGTATGTGGACAACTACAAATACCTAGGTGTCTGGTTAGACTGTAAACTCTCCTTCCAGACTCACATTAAGAATCTCCAATCCAAAGTTAAATCTAGAATTGGCTTCCTATTTCACAACAAAGCCTCCTTCACTCATGCTGCCAAACATGCCCTCGTAAAACTGACTATCCTACCGATCCTTGACTTCGGCGATGTCATTTACAAAATAGCCTCCAACTCTCTACTCAGCAAATTGGATGTAGTCTATCACAGTGCCATCCGTTTTGTCACCAAAGCCCCATATACTACCCACCACTGTGACCTGTACGCTCTTGTTGGCTGGTCCTCACTACATATTCGTCACCAAACCCACTGGCACCAGGCCATCTATAAATCACTGCTAGGCAAATCCCCGCCTTATCTTAGCTCATTGGTCACCATAGCAACACCCACCCGTGGTCTGCGCTCCAGCAGGTATATCTCACTGGTCATCCCCAAAGCCAACACCTCCTTAGGCCGCCATTACTTCCAGTTCTCTGCTGCTAATGACTGGAACGAATTGCAAAAAACTCTGAAGCTGGAGACTCTTATCTCCCTCACTAACTTTAAGCATCAGTTGTCAGAGCACCTTACCGATCACTGCACCTGTACACAGCCCATCTGAAATTAGCCCACCCAACTACCTCATCCCCATATTGTTATTTATTTTGCTAATTTGTACCCCAGTATCTCTATTTGCACATCATCTCTTGCACATCTATCATTCCAGTGTTAATACTAATTGTAATTATTTTGCACTATAGCCAATTTATTGCCTTACCTCCATAACTTGCTACATTTGCACACATTGTATATATACCTTTTCTGTTGTATTTTTGACTTTATGTTTTGTTTTAAACCATATGTAACACTGTGTTGTTGTTTTTATCACACTGCTTTGCTTTATCTTGGCCAGGTCGCAGTTGTAAATGAGAACTTGTTCTCAACTGGCTTACCTGGTTAAATAAAGGTGAAATAAAAAACATAAAAAAAAAAAAAAATGTGGTTGTTGGTTTTTGTTTTTGGTTGTTGTGGATCTAACTTCTGCCACTACTGGACAAAACTGACATTACGTTGCCACATCTTCTCAGTTAAGGAAAATACTTCATCTCCTATAAACCACCAGTGCAGAACAAGGAAGAGGAAGTGTGGTCCTCGCTCCGGGGTGAAGTTTCCCCTAGGTACAGATCCAACGATCAGCTTCCCCTCCCCAATCATTATTTCCTCCCATTAGTGGGTAAAATCCAAAACGTACCCAAGGGCAGCGTCTAGTGGCAACTTTACCTTACACAATGTAACAATACTCACGCCTACTCTCGTAGATGGCCCTGGACTTCTCGTAGAGGTCGTATGGGTCGGGTTTGTTGAGGTTGAAGCCCTCCGTGGAGTCGGGGACCGAGGTGCGATGCTGTGGCAGGGTAGAGATGGGTGTGCCGGAGGGAAGCACCGGGGCTGACAAGCAAGTCTGGGAACTACCATGGGGGTCCCACTGCTCTGGTAGCTGAAGGCACAGCAGCAGAGAGAGATAGGGATGGGAAGTGAGAGAGGTAGAGAAGGGTGAGGGAGGGGGGCGAATAAAGAGAGAGATTCAAGTTTACTTAATTGTGTACACATTTGCAGCTTAAAGCTGAATTGCAGTATACAGACCACTCAAATAATAAGGCATTCAATTCATAGGTGTTTTTCATTCATAGGTTTTTCAATTCCATTTAATTGAAAGTCCTACAAATCAATTTTATTTACAGTAAATTAGCCAAATGTCAAAAAGGTAAAACCCAAAGACAAACAACACTTTGACTAAATATCAATGAGGATTGTAGCACTTTCAAAACTTAACCAAAATAGAACAAGCCCCTCCTCCAAAAATGTACCGTATTTTCCGCACTATAAGGCGCACCGGATTATAAGGCGCACCTTCAATGAATGGCCTATTTTAGAACTGTTTTCATATATAGGGCGCACCGGAATATAAGGCGCATAGAATAGAAGATACTGCAGTCAAACGTTTGACTGGGGTTGCGTTATGCATCCACTAGATGTAGCTGTGCTAAAGGGAATGTCAACAAAACAGTCAGATAAAGTCAAACTTTATTAAGCGTTCTGACAACTCCGTTCACTCCCATGGTAACGTTGTTCAAACAATATCTCCCAGCCTTGCTCACTCTTCTCCCAAACGTGGAGGGGAACTTTTCCCTGATTCAGTAAACACGTAGTAAAAGAAACAGTCTGATACCACTAAATCAAACGTTAGTGCATAACTCAACATTGTTCAGTTACGTATAACACGTAAAGCTCACTTTTTCAGTTCATTCCCCGTCCACGAATCCCTCGAATTCTTCTTCTTCAGTGTCCGAATTGAACAGTTGGGCGACTATGGCATCCAACCTGCCCGGATCCCTCTCGTCATTATCCGAGTCAGTGTCGATGCTGTTGCCTGGCAGTTCAGAGATTATTCCTGCCTTCGTGAAAGCTTGGACCACAGTTGAGACTGATATATCAGCCCAGGCATCCACGATCCATTGGCAGATAGTGGCGTAAGTCGCCCGGCGCTGTCTCCCCGTCTTGGTGAACGTGTGTTCGCCTTCTGTCATCCACTGCTCCCACACAGCTCGCAGTCTAACTTTGAACGCCCTGTTGACACCGATATCTAGCGGCTGGAGTTCTTTAGTTAATCCACCCGGAATGACGGCAAGCTCCGAATTAGTTTGCTTCACTTGTTTTTTGACAGCATCAGTGATATGGGCGCGCATGGAGTCGTAGATCAATAGGGATGGAGCTGTGTGGAAAAAGCCACCCGGTCTCTTGACGTAAATTTCTCTCAGCCACTCACTCATCTTTTCCTCATCCATCCATCCCTTCGGGCTAGCTTTGATAACGACGCCGGCTGGAAAGTTTTCTTTTGGCAAGGTCTTCCTCTTGAAAATAACCATGGGTGGAAGTTTCTGGCCATTAGCTTGGCAGGCGAGAACTACAGTGAAGGATGACTTCTCATTCCCTGTGGTGCGTACAGACACCGTACTGGTCCCCGTTTTCTCCACAGTGCGGTTCACGGGAATATCAAAGTCGTACTGAAACATTTCATTATTATTAAATTGTTTTTATTGTTTTTTCATACTGAAACATTTTGACAGAGCGCCTTGAGCGCCGTGTACAACCAGTATTGATCAACCAATTAACCAATTAATCCATATATAAGGCGCTCCGGATTATAAGGCGCACTGTCGTTTTTTGAGAAAATTAAAGGCTTTTAAGTGCGCCTTATAGTGCGGAAAATACGGTAAACTAAATTTTCCATAATATGACTATAAATCCCTTAAAGAGATTCTCCTGTACTTTTCTATAGGGTAAATCCATTTGAAATAAATTACTTTGAAAGCATCCTTTTTTATTTAAATAAAACTTTACATACATGTTTGCCCATTGTCACGTCCGTTGAGTACAGAATTGGACCAAGGTGCAGACAACGATCGACAGCTGCCTCTGATTGGGAACCATACTTAGGCAGCCATTTTGCCTACCTATGTTGTGGGATCTTGTTTCTGTTTGGCTAGTTTCGTTATAGCCCATAGAACTTCACGGTTCGTTGTTTGTTATTTTGTCAAGTGTTTATTCACAAATAAAACATGTACGCATACCATGCTGCACCTTGGTCCAATCCTGTACTCAACGGACGTGACAGAAGATCCCACCACCAACGGACCAAGCAGCGTGCCCAGGAGGAGCAAACACCCTGGACTCAGCGGGAAGCAACGTTGGTAGATGTCCTCCTCGGTTGGGGGAAAATTACAGAGGAGGAAGCCGTCCGTTACGGTGAGGTAATGGAGGAGGGCTGGAGTCCGGATCGACGGCGACTCCAAAATGCGAAACGACGAAGGAGACCCGAGAGGCAACCCCAATAAAAAAATTGGGGGGGGGGGGGGGCACACGGGGTGGTCGACGAAGCAGCAGGAGGCCGTGAAAGGGCTGACTGTAGAGGAGGAGGCCGCTATTTTAGAGGTCCTCCAAGACCTTCGGATCAGCAGTTTGAGAGAGGAGGCCACCACATTACGGGGGATGATAGCGAGGATAGAGCAGGAGAGCTCCCTTCAAAAGGAGGCGCTGCAGGAGGCCCTTAGGGAGAAGGAATTAGTGGATGCACGGAGAGAGGAACTGGCCAGGCAACAGAAGGAGCGAGTGGTCATTGAGGACCCAAGTTATGCGGAGATACGCACTGTGTCGCCAGTGCGTCTTCACAGCCCAGTGTGTCCTGTGCCAGCGCACCGCACGTGCCGTGCGAAGGTGGGCATCCAGCCAGGACGGGTTGTGCCAGCGTTACACTCCAGACCTCCAGAACGCCTCCACAGTCCCGTACATGCTCCCCACACCAAACCAGTGGTGTGTGTCTCCAGCCTGGTACGGCCTGTACCTGCTCCCCGCACCAAACCAGTGGTGCGTGTATCCAGTTCGGTACGGCCCGTACCTGCACCAAGCCAGTAGTGCGTGTCGCTAGTCCGGTATGTCCCGTACCTGCTCCCCGCATCCAACCAGTGGTGCGTATATCCAGTCCGGTACGGCCCGTACCTGCTCCTCGCACCAAACTAGTGGTGTGTGTCGCCAGCCCGGTACGCCCGTGCCTGCTCCTCTCACCAGACCAGTGGTGCGTGTTCCCAGTCTGGCACAGCCCGTGCCTGCTCCTCGTACCAAACCAGTGGTGCGTGTCTCCAGTCCGGCACGGCCCGTGCCTGCTCCTCGCACCAGACCAGTGGTGCGTGTTCCCAGCCCGGTGCGACCCATGCCTGTTCCTCGCACCAGACTAGTGGTGCGTGTCCCCAGCCCGGTACGGCTGGTACCAGAACAGTCTGCTCCACCGGTGCCCAGTACAGCTCTGGTCAGCTGCTCCACTCCAGTGCCAGAGCAGTCCGCTCCACCGGTGCTTAGTAGAGCTCTAGTCAGCTGCTCCACTCCAGTGCCAGAGCAGTCCGCTCCACCAGTGCCCAGTCTAGCTCTGGTCAGCTGCTCCAGTCCAGAGCCAGAGCAGTCCGCTCCACCGGGGTCCAGTTCAGCTCCAGTCAGCGGCTCCACTCCAGTGCCAGAGCAGTCCGCTCTACCGGTGCCTAGTCCAGCCCCGGTCAGCTGCTCCAGTCCAGAGCCAGAGCAGTCCGCTCCACCGTGATCCAGTTCAGCTCCGGTCAATGGCTCCACTCCAGAACCAGACGTCAACCCCTCTCCAGGGTCGGGGCCTCCCACACCAGGGTCCAGACAGGGCTTGGTGCATCGCGGGGGGATTGCCGGTCCATGCCCAGACGTCAGCCCCTTTCCAGGGTCGGGGCCTCTCACACCAGGGTCCAGACAGGGCTTGGTGCATCGTGGGAGGACTGAGAGGGGAAGCATCGCGCCGAGGTCCAGACCGGACCAGGGGTGCAACGGGGAGGCAGTAAGGAAGAGGACGTCACGCCCGGAGCCGGAGCCGCCACCAAGGCTAGATGCCCACCCGGACCCTCCCCTGTTAAGTTAGGTTTTGCGGCCGGAGTCTGCACCTTTTGGGGGGGGGGGGGGGGGGGGGGGGGGGTTGGTACTGTTTGGTCAGGGTGTGAATTTCTATGTGTAGATCTAGTTATTGTAGTTCTATGTTGGCCGGGTGTGGTTCCCAATCAGAGGCAGCTGTCAATCATTGTCTCTGATTGGGAATCATACTTAGATAGCCATTTTGCCTACCTATGTTGTGGGATCTTGACTCTTGTTTGGCTTGTTTGTGTGTAGCCATTGTGAGCTTCACGTTACGTTGCTTTTGTTGTTTTGTCGTTCATTAATAAACATGTATGCATTCCATGCTGCACCTTGGTCCAACCCTGTACTCAACGAACGTGACACCCATAGAAGAAGTGGTCAGAAAGTGACTTTTTGGACCTAAATGACAAAACATTCAGGAGATAAAGGTGCTCAAAGTTTACCTATTTTGCATACCCCACCATACCATGAGACATCCATGTCTTCATCACTGGAAAAGATAAATGGTTGAGTTTGATATAATTTAAAAGCTAACAAATAGTGTTTTCAAACTTTTTGATTATTTCTTTATTATTTTATACAATTCAGATTTGCATATGTTGTAGCTTAGACCTATTTCACATCTGAGGTTTTTGTGTTGAGACACAACATGATCTTGATTACAGGGTGGGTGTCATTTCAATCATATAAATATAATTCATAGAATTGACCCATCCCTTCATACCACCGCAATTTAGCTGGTTCACCATTGAAATTTAAATTGAATTGACATTTTAATTAATTACTACCAGAAAAGTTAGAGACCCATGCACTGTTGATTAAAGGAATAAATCAAAAACTGAGGCTTGAATGCAAAATAAATATATTAATTAAAACATCCTGGTGCCCAAAAAATCATAGTGCAAGAAACTGCATAAATTAAAAGGTGAAAACAAAACGCAAACATTTTGGCCTCAAGCCATTGTCAGTGTAAATCGTCGGCACACACACCTGGCTTCTATTTTAAGGATA